AGAGATTTGTTTGCAGAGCAAATGCTGAATGCCTGTGTGGTGCTTGATAAGGTGCAAAATGACCTTTGACTCTGCTATGTCTTTGGTTCTCAGAAACTTTGTAGTCTAATAAGGGATTCAGTAAACTAGAGGTCGAGGCTGGGGATTTAGCTCAGTGGTTCTGCTGCCTGCCTCTCAAGCGCAAGGTCCCGAGTTTGATCCCCAGTATAAAATTAAGAAAGAAAGAAAGAGAAAACTAGAGGATGAAAGAACACTTACTGTGTTGTCCTGTGACAGAAGCATTAAAGACACATTAGAAGCCCCTAACTCTGAACTGGAGGTCTGGGTGCATGGGAATGGAAGTGAAAATGTGCATGTTAGAGAGTACGGGTGTGTGTAAAAAGGCATACTATGCTCCAAACAACGGCATTGACATCTCTTGTTGGTAACAAAACAAGGCCAAAAGATCGACCACTAGCCATTAAAATGTAATAGATTTGACAGGAAACCTCAGACATGTTTCCTTTGGTGTACTGTGTCCGGTGTTACTCCCTCCCTCCCAGGGGGAGGGGAAAGTAGTAACACAATGAAGCAGCTCTCTTGGGAAAGTTTTATAGTAAGAGGAGAGATAACTGCATACAAATGCTGGAAATCAATAAGTAAGATTAAAGATGGCCTGTGAAGGGTGGTGAAGGGTGGAGGGGAGGGTGAGGAGACCAAGGATCTTGTCGCAGATTAGAACAGGAATCAGCAAACTTACCACAAGGGCCAGATGAGAAATAGTTTCAGCTCTTTGAGCCACACATCTGTGTTGTAAGGAGACCCTGCCTTTATAGGATGAAAGTCATAAACACTAGATAAAATGTGGAGCATAGCTCTATTCTAGGTTCACTACACAGAGAACAGTGACCAGCTCTAGAGTGCTCACCCCGGGGCTGGAATGCATACTCCAGGAGGGCAGGACTTTGTCTTTTCTTTTGTTTGTCAGTTTATTTTGTTTCCAGTTATAATCAGTGGAGTAGAAAAATGTACATAGTAGATAATTAATAATTGTTTGGGTGAATGG